TTATCTTCTTTTTTATATATGTAGACTGCCAACAGACACTATTTTGTCAGAAACATGAGTTGTCTAAAGAAGAAAAAAAAGTTTAAAGAGTTGGCAAGTCTATGTAACTCTCTCACTGGTAATCTTATTAGCTTATTAATGTGTTTGATTAATTAAAAATTAAAAATGATGTTTTAATTAAAAAGAAAAAAAAAAATTTTTTTAGCTCTGGAGCATGACATGTATTCAAGTGTATATATGACATATATATTTTATTTTATAATCTTATTGAAACATGTTTTGTTGTTTGTATTAGAAGCTGCTTTAAAGTCAAATAATAACTTAACCAAAATGGATGCTATCCAACTTATTGGGAGAGTAATTAGGCATTCTTCTGACCGAATAAAGAAAACATCGACTAATATGGATTTCGATCAATGTCTGCTTAACTAACTGTTGTATTTTTTATTTTTATTTTCCATTTTTAAGCAATTTTCTTCTATTTATAATGCACTATCGATTATATTATACTGTACCTATAAGTTTTTTATTTGAAAAATGTAACTTTGTTTGAAAAATTATTCTTATTTTTTGTAAAGTTATTAATTTATTTTAAATATATCAAATTTCACTTTATTTACATTCATTTCTTTTTATAACTTCCTTTGCCTAGATTAAGGCAAATCTAAAGTGTGTGTTGTAAATCATTGCATTTTTATATAACTTTTAAAAGAATGTCTTGGTAAAATTCAAACGTCTCTAGGACGTCTGAAAAAGACGTCCTTAAGTCTTTCATATGAGACCAGCCAGAGACGTCTCTAGAACGTCTGCAAAAACGTCTCTAGGACGTCTTGAAAAAACGTCTTTAGGACGTCTGGAGTAGACGTCCTCAAGCCTTTCATTTAAGACCAACTAAGGATGTCTTACGGACGAGACTTAAGACGACTTACGGACGTCCTTAGGACGTCAAAATGCCCGCTGGGTTATTATATTTTAAGGCTGTAGAGTTTCGTTTTTTTCTTCTGTATTCTGGATTAGTTGTACTAAAAGGTAAGATCTCTGGAAAAGAATACAATTTGTTTCTGGCTTTGTCAATTGCTACACGTATACTTCTTTCTGATATTTTCAGTAAATAAAAACGTTATGTTATATTTTCTAAAAAGTTATTTTATTGGTTTACTAATGAGGCTATTTTACTCTAAGGAGAGACTTTTTCATCTTATAATGTCCATTCTCTAATACATATAGCTGATGATGTTTTAAATCATAACAAGACTTTAAACGAGCTATCTGCTTATCCATTTAAAAATTAATTAGGATGTTTATAAAAAGTAGTGCACTCAGGAAGATATGCTATAGGTATATCTCAGGCTGTCAAAAGATTAGAGGAAAAATTACAACTCAATAAAAATGTAACAACTCAAGAAAAAACAACAAGATAAGATAGATATATCTCAGGCTGTCAAAAGATTAGAGGAAAAAATAAAACTCAATGAAAATGTAACAACTCAAGAAAAAACAACTAAAATTAGTACAAGGAAAAAAAATAGTGTTTTTTTAATTGCAAAATCTGGGTTCACGATTATAACCAAAAAGCTTAGTGAAATATGTACCTTAAAAGGTTAATTAAATTAAAATACTTCTCTAATTATTTTAATGAACCAGACTTGTCTTCCACATACAACATATTTTTTATATCTACAATTGATAATTATATTGAATCTGTTTTTAAAAAAGAAGAACTTATTTCTAAAGCAATCATGATGCCATTTTCAAAAGGGGGTTTTGTTTTTATGGCTCTAATTCATTGTGACACTAGATAAATGTGTATAAAAATTTCCTGTTTAAATTTATATCTATGAATTTTTTATTATGTTTGCTTTAATTTTATTGGTTTAATTGAGGTTAATGACTAGTCGATGGTTTAATTGTTTGATTTTCGTTGTTTAGTTATTTATTTGATTTTAATTTTTTAATATATTTGAACTGTTTCATTAATTTAATTTTTTCATTCATTTTTACTGTTTGATTGATTTTAATTTTTTCATTGACTTTAACTGTTTGATTGATTTAATTACTTAATTTTTTTTGAAGTTGATAAACATTTTAAATGATAAGAAACATAAAAAAACCAATAATATCAATATTCACATATTAATACTTTTATATATATTTATATTAGGCGTAGGCAATATATGTATATATATACATATATATATATATATATATATATATATATATATATATATATATATATATATATACACATATATATACATAAATATATATAAATATATATTTCTTTGTGTGTGTTTGTGTGTGTGTATCTATATATTATATATGTTGATGATTGGTTTTAAATATTTATTACATAAATAAAGTTTTTTTTGTAAATATATTGCAACTTTGGTAATTTTTAGTTAGTTATGGCGTTTTCAAAAGTAAAATGGAAAGAACCATATGCAAATGGATCTAGTAAAATCCAGTATGGGACGGTGCCAACAAACTGGATTGAAGAAGG